GGGGGGGGGGGGGGGGTGCTACAGGGGTTTTGCACACAGCTCGAGTGTAGAACCGAGCCATCAGCATCAATTAGTGGAGAAAATAAGCACGCGCTAACTCGTCTGGCCCGACGTGCCCCGGCCTGTCTCTGACAGCCGCGACACGGGTGCGTCTGCAGACACGGGATGAACGGAATACCAATCAGTTCCTTTTCCACGAGAAGAATGTGTCTCTCCAAGCGTGGAACAGAGTGGGTGTGCAAATACCGTACCTGTAAGCTGTAATTAGCCTTCCCCTTAATTAGCTGTGTAATGAGCTCCGCCGTGTGCTGGAAATGGATTTTTTCTGTTAAAGAAAACAAAAAAGAGGACAGTACGGGTTAAACCCAGCACACCATCAGGGGCGATGCAGAGAATGAGTGTCCCCGGTCCTCACCGTCAGCGGTTGCATGAATGATTAGAAACTGCTGCTCTTCCAGGGCTGACACTCGATGAGCCACCTTGGTCATCTGCACAGGCAGGGCAAGGGGACAGAGTTAGCGGGCCTCACCGCAGCCAGCGAGGTGTTCGTCCCGGGAGAAGCGGGGGCTTCGCAGGGGAGGGGAGGGCACGGAGCGTGCCAGAAGCCTCCCTGCATGAGCTCCTCTTAGGAGGAGGAAGGGGTGGAAGAGAAGAGGGCACAGGAGAGCTCCCTTCCGCCCACGGCAGGTGGCCCCAGAGGGCCACCATCTCAGCCGGTGCCACTGGGAGGTGACACCCCGGCCAGAGAGTCCCGTGGTCCACGCGCAAATCCCAGCTTTGAAGCCAGGTCCTCCGGGCAACAGAAGTCCGGCCTCCCCCTTACGCCCCCCTCACCCCGCTGAAGAAACACCCAGGTGACACCTGCACTGAGTCACTTCGGTGGCTATGGCCTGGCAGGTGGTATCGGAGAACTTTTCTGTAGCCCAACCAGGGGCTTATCTCCTCAAAGCAGAACCAGCCTTGGATGAGGGGACCGGCAGTCACCCGTGCCGACGACCGTGGAGCCCGGGACAGACCCTCTGCCCGTCCGAAGACTTTCCTAACTCCCCTCCTTGCCTCTCGGGTGCCAGAAAGGGAAAGCGGACAGACCCGGGAGAGGCCCCGGTCACCAGGGTTCACGGCCCGGTGGAAGGTTTTCTCAGGGCGAGTTTGGTGGGGGAGAGGGGGAGCCCAGCAGGCCCGGGCAGGGAGCGTGGGTCCCAGAACCGGGCCGGGGGCCGGAGGGGCGTGAGAGAGAGGATTTCCGGAGGGGCGGCCCGAGCTCGCCCGATTCCCCGTCCTGCCCACATGTACCTCGTATGCCCTATTGTCAAGTCCGTGGAGGCCCAGGTACCTCTCGGAGAACGCAGACGCTAGAAACGAGAAGAGGGGGGCAGGGTTACCCGAGCGGAGCCGGTGCCGAGCCCCCCGATGCGGGGACGCCCCTGGCAGGGGGCTGGGGCAGGGAGGGTGGGCTCACCCACACTTTCAGGGCAAACGTTTGTTTCTAAAACACCGCCTCAGCCTGCGGGGCTTCACGCAGGTAATCAGACAGCACCCCGGTAACATTCGAGTGTCTCAGAGTTGGTGGCTGGCTTTTAAGCGATACAGCAAAACCTCAACCGCGTGAAACAGTGACTCTGAAACCCCGTGAGCAGGATAAGCCCTCGCTTTGTTTCAAATACAGGAAAGGCTACAGATCCCAAAGAGCAGACTGCCATCAGGATTTGCTCCTTTTCTGTTTTTGTTTTGTTTGGTTTTAAACACTAGGCATGTCTGCGTCCAGTCCTGGGTGAGAGTCTGACGTCTGCCTGTCGGCAAAGTCAGGCTGGAGGAAGCACCAAACACTTCTGCAGGGGGCAGGGGGGATCTTTCGTTCTCTTTTTAATGTTGACTTGACGGTGTTGTTTCTTTACTGTTTGTTTATTTTTGAGAGAAAGAATGTGTATGAGCGGGGGCGGGGCAGAGAGAGAAGGAGTCACAGAATCCGAAGAAGGCTCCAGGCTCCGAGCTCTCGGCACAGAGCCCGACGCGGGGCTCGAACCCACAAACAGTGAGATCGTGACCTGAGCCGAAGTCGGACGCTTCACTGACCGAGCCACCCAGGCGTCACAGGGACACCCTTAATTAAGTGGAGACGGCACTGGAGGATTCCCCCACCTGCGGCTGTGACCTATCAAGGTGCAGGATGGTACATTTATGTGCATCTGAGTCAGGCACCTTTGAACCCGCATGATTAAAAAAAATTAAGAAAGTCTCACTGAGTTGAAAAAAATCTGAAATACATTACATGTATTCCCATGGGAAAACGAATTTTAAATTATTACGTGTTTGAAGGAGGGGAGTGCTGGGACTACAAGTTCAAGTTGGCATTAGAGCACTTTGTCAACGTGTCTTTTGTGAGCCTTTCGGCTGCAGGAGTCAGAGGTCCTCACAGTCCACGGGGTCCCGGGTGCTGAGATGGGGCACCGGGGAGGGGTCGGCCAGGGGACCCCTGGGTGGGTCTCGAGCTCCTGGTCTTGTGTGTCGGGAACGTGACTTACGGGTCTCGGGGGGTTGACCGGTTTCATTCAAACAAGTGACTGGAAGCCCTCCCTCCCCTTCCCAGGCTTCTGTCCAGGTTTCTCATTAGCCCGGGTCGCCTCCCACCCACCGTGGGTGCATGAAGCAAGGGAGGCAGGGGAAGTGTGGCGGGACGGGAGGCATGGGGCCGTGCGGGGGCCTCGTCGCGTCAAGACCGTTACCGTAGAGCTTGAAGTCTGTTATTGGAGAGAGAGCAGAGCCACAGGTGAAAAGCTGACCCTGGTTTTCACCCTTCGCTGGGAGTATGTAAGTGCTCAGGTACCCGCCGTAGTCCTGCGAGAGACAGAAAGGGGGACAAGTGGGCAACGCGTCGAGGATTCTGTCACGACAACAGCCTCCGACGTAGGTCAGCGACTCAGCGGCCACTGTCACGTAGTTTCTGCCAAAAAGCAAAAAAGGATGAGAGGCAAACACCTTGCCAGTTAGATATTGCATGAGGCACGCCTCCCATCTGTGGGCCTGGGGTCGTGGGAGCCACGTGACGGGAGCTGCGGTCGCGGGTCAGGAGCTGCGCGTGAGGTTCTCGTCAGGCCCCTTCCGAACCAGCATATTCCTGCAGCGCCTCGAGCTGCCTTCCCGACTCCAGCGGACCCAGCCACGTGAGGTGACCGTCAGGGGCCAAAAAGGAGCCTGTGTCAAAGGGCCCGGGGGCTGGTCGGCCAGAGTGCCCGGCTCAGGGCCGACAGGGGGCACGGCAGGTCCTTCTCGTCCTACGGTCCCTCTACCTTGGGGCTGGCACGCAAGGCCCCTGCTTGAACACGGGCCTTCCGGGGAGAGTGAAACGTCACAGGCTACCTGCCACGGGCACCTTCAAGGCTGCTTGGTTCAGATGTGCTCTGTCTCCAGATCCCAGAGGAGTGGGACACAGATGAGATGCTGTGATGAGCGGCGGTGGGAAGGGACAGGGGCGCGGGCTCGAGACAGCCAGGTATGTTAAGGATATGGGGGCTGCTAACGGTGTTGTGTGGGCGTGTGTGCGTGTGTAGGGAGTATGTGTGTGCGTGACTGTCTGTGCATGAGTGTGCGCGTAAGTGTACACGGGGGGGGGGGTCTGTGTGTTCTGTATGGGAAGGCGTGCGTGTGGGGGTGTGGGTGTATGTGTTGTGCATGTGGGTGTGTGGGTGTGTGAACGTGTGTGTGTTGGGCGGGAGGATCGAGTGTGAAGGAGCCATACACCTGACAGAGACTCTGTGTGTAGCCCGTGCTGTGCCAAACTCACTGTAGAATTAACCGTTATGACCTCTATGCTCGTTACATTATAACTTAATAGCGTTCCTTCAACACAACACGAATGTCTTATCTTAATGACAGTAAAAGTGTCTTTTTGGTTTCTGGTTAATAATTTTCATTGTCAGTGGAATCTGGAAGTCCTTAAAGTCATTCTGCCATCTGTTTTCAAAAAAAGTGTGGACTGACAACACCAAATGCTGGTGAGGACGTGGAACAGGGAACCTTCACTCACTGCCGGCTGGGATGCCGCACGGGGCAGCCACTTTAGAAGGCAGCGTGGGGATTTCTTACAACACTAAACACGCTTTTTACCCTGTGGCCCAGCAATCGTGCTCCTTGGTATTTATTCAAAGGAGGGGAAAACTTTTATCTGCACAAAAACCTGCACATGGAGGGTTCCCTCAGCTTCATTCATAATTGCCAAAACTTGCAAGTCGGTGAACGGACCAATGGGCTGTGGTACGTGGCTATTACTCCGTGCAGAGAAGTAACGAGCTATGGAGCCCTGAGAAGAGCCTTAAACGCGTACTGCTCAGTGAAAGAAGCCCGTCTCAAGAGGCTGTGTGAGTGTTTGAGGAGGAGCAAGCACTGAACAGAGACAGGCCCAGGCCAGGGGCCGTGACCAGGCAGGCAGTCCATAGGGCAGCAACTTTCCCGGGTGGGTGCGGGTGGGTGATAGATGCCGACGCCCAGAGTTATGCTTACAGATGATCCGACTGGCTCTGAGCCCCTCTCGGGCAGTGAGTGGGTCTCCGCCAGCATGGAATGAAGCTCCAGAACGCTGCGCCTGAGAGAGAAGCCCCTGGGCCCTCCCCTTTACCGCCTCACCTCTGGTGGTGCCAGCGGGGGTGTGGGAGGGGTGTCTGGGGTCACCCGCCCATGGTGCCACGTCTCAACTGTACACTGGCCCCACAGAACGCTGGGCACGGAAGGTCCGGAGGCGATGACATTAGAGGTAGTCCTGTGATTACCGATTACCGTTCGAGTCTCCACCTGCACTGTGGTCACTGAGGTGCTCCCCGAGGGCCTGTGCTCTGAGTGTCCCCTCGGAGGGGCGATGGATCTGTGTCTATCCATCTGTGCCTGTGCCTTGCGAAGTCTAAGGCTCACGGATCCAGGCTAAGAATGGGGGGGGAGTGTGTGCCCAGGTGGTACTAGGTGGCCCCCCACAGGCCTGCCTTGCAGCCCCGGGGCCTGCACAGCACCAGCTGGGCCACCCCGAGGAACGTGAACTGCCGACTCCTTCCATGTCAGCTAACCTGACTAGTGCACATAAAAGATACGCGGAAATAAAGGCTCCTGCGTTCCCTCGTTTCCTGGGGCACCACATCAGGCACCATGGCGGGCTTGCATAAGAAAAGTAACTAGGAACCTAATGAACCTGGCTTGTTTTTCTTTCCTTCTAGATAACAGAGAGAGTGAAACTCTAATAAATAAGCTGGCCAAATGGTGGCTCCCCTTGCTGGAATCGCTAAGCGTCCAACCTCTCGCTCTTAAAAAAACGTAGCTGCTCTCATAGCACCGGCCGAGAGACGTTCTGAGCAAATCAGACTGGGCCTGGGTGATGGCAGTGCTCTCGATGGGATGGGTGCTGGGCACAGGCTCACCTTCCCAAACACGGCCACACGCGCCTTATCGATGTACTGTTCCTTCAGCATCATCCTGCAAGGCCAAAGAAGAGAGGGCTGAGTGACTGTGCACCTGCATGGTGGCCCAGAGCCGTGCTTTCCCACCATTTCAGGCACGAAGACCCCCCATGTAAATCAAAGGAAGTATCAGAATTCGAAGGTAATTGTTGCTTTTCTCTACTCAGCGCACAGGTAGCTTGCCCATGTTAGAAACCTCAAAGTGCCCTCACAGGAGCTGTCCAGGTGTGTAAAACTTGCCGACCGAGAGCCAGGAATGCAAAGCAGCTGATGCCGATCCGGAGACCAGGCCCCGCTGGGTCCCTGTCCTCTGCTCCAGTCTGCCCCTCGCTTGGACCATGTGGCTTCCAGCCACCCCAGACTCTGGGCGTGTCCTGCGGGGTTGGCCTGGAGAACAGACACTCTGGTTCTGTGCTTGGAGCCACGGTGCTGGGCTCCCAATCCACCTGCAATGTCCTTTGTCCCCAACTCCCAGGTGGGGGTCCCTGTCTCGCACCTGCTCGGTGGCAGACTCAGCCCTGCCTTGTGCTTCCTGCCTTGCCCGGCGCTGTCCGGGCCCTGCCTTGCCCTTGCCAGAGTCTCACTGCTCTCCCCGGTCACCCCTTTTCCCCACGAAACGACGGGAATCTTCCTGGTTTCCGGGCCCTAATTCAGCAGCAGGGGTCCTGCTACCTGCTGGCACGTGACCGGCTGCTTTCCGGATCTCTGCAAGTTGCTTCCTTCCACGCATACACCCCGCTGCCAGAGCCCCTCCCTGCACTGCTCCGTCTGTTTCTACCTGCTTCTTGGGGGTTATTCCTTTGTTTCTGTTTTCTGTGTTCTGCTGGCAGGCTGGAGCCACCCCATCCCTGATAACCGCCCTTCTCAGCCTGAAGGGTGTCTAAAACTCTGGGTACCAGCCCTCGGAGACAATTTTTTTCCTTAAGATGACTCCCCCACCCCGCGTCCCAGGACAAGGCCAGTCCTCCGTGGTCAGCACCGCGCTTCCATGGCCAATGTCCAAGGTAAATGGACACAAGTTCCTGGGGGCTGAGGGCCCAGCTTGAAGCAGCAATGTCCCCGACTTTTCCGACGGAGGAAGGTGGCGAAAACAGCTGAAGCTGGTCCTTGAGACGACCAGCCCCACAGGAGCAGAAAAGAGAAGAAAACCGCAGTGGACAGGTTACGAATGTGTCTCAGCATTTGAACAGAAATACTAACAGCGTGAGCAGGATCCGGAAACAAGGGAGAGATACGACAAGTAGGTCCACAGAAAGTTACTCAAGTGAGAGAAAAGGCAACACACCTCAACTGTGATGCTCCAGCCCTGGGGACTTACAGCACTTTAATAAACTTGCTTTTGAAAAATGTTGTGTGGGTGTCATAGGGTAGCCCCGTAGACCTCCAATCACCTCTGCCAGACTCGGGATGTGGAGGTCCACATGTGCGCGTGCACACACACACACACACACACACACACACACACACTGGGTCGTGGGCTGCAGAGTTCTGCCCACGTATCTGGACCCAGCAGGGACATTTCTGCAAGTTCCCTGACTTCCTCCTGGAGACCCAAACCCTGGATTTTCAGACGTGCATTTGGGCACACGTGAGATGCTCTGGCTCAGCCAGCTTTCACAACCAGCCCGCCGGGGGGCCCCACGAGGATGCTGCCCCACGGCTGGACGTCCAGATCACACTTGCTGGGATCCACGTGGCAGTCGGTGGGGACCACGGAGTGTGGTGTGGGCGATGTGCACCACAAAGGGCTCCATTCCAACTTGGAAAACACCTTGGATTTCCTTTCTCAGCTCTGCTTCCAAGTCCACAGGCGGCCCAGGGTCTGGCAATCCCTTCACCTAATTACCTGGCCACTCACTTCTTGATCTAAATGCCAGAAACCTTGGTAATGATCCTCATTTTTCTGGAGTCTTCCAAGAGTGGTTGTTTTTCCAATACCAAATATTTTTATTATCTTGTGCTTCTATTTTCATTAACCAACCGAGCAAATCCCATGTGATGATTTTTTTATGGTGAATAGAACTGCAAATTAAGGAGAGCCCGATTTCACATGCAGGTAGCGCTTTTTTTATTACTGGGGTTGTCTGAGGCCTCGTGAAAAGCAGAGGCAGAACCCATCAGAGTGCTTTCTTTTTTAAAAAAAAAATTTAACATTTATTTATTTCTGAGAGACAGAGAGAGAGAGGGAGACACAGAATCTGAAGCAGGCTCCAGGCTCTGAGCTGTCCGCACAGAGTCTGATGCGGGGCTCGAACTCACAAATGGCGAGATCATGACGTGAGCCGAAGTGCGACGCTTAACCGACTGAGCCACCCAGGCGCCCCATGGGTGTCTTTCTTAATGGAGCGTGTTCTGA